AAAAGATAACTGCAACATTCAATGCTGCTGATGGTTACCTGTGGTCTCAGGTTAAAACCTTATGCCATGGAGGATACCCAAAATAGTCTAAACTGTATATTCTTTAATCTTTCTCTTTTGCAGGACATTATGCTCATTTTAAGTTTGCATGTGTGTGTGTGTGAGTGAGACTGCCCAAAAGCCATATGCTTGACATTGTTTCACAGTGGGGTTACTGCAACTTCCCCTCCACAGTGGTCGAAAATGCCCTCGACCACATTTCTCGCGTTTCCCGCAACTTATCCCTCACACCCCCTCCCCGCAATAACAACCAAAACAGAATCCCCTTCGTCCTCACGTACCACCCCACCCACCTCCGGATCCAATGCATCATCCTCTGGCACTTCCGCCATCTGCAATCCCACCCCACCACCAAAGACATTTTTCCCTCCCCACCCTTATCCGCTTTCCGGAGGGACCACTCTCTTCGGGACTCCCTTGTCCGCTCCACACTCCCCACCAGCCCCACCACACCCGACACTTTTCCCTGCAACCGCAGGAAGTGCTACACCTGCACCTACACCTCCCCCCTCACCCCCATCCCAGGCCCCAAGAAAACCTTCCACATCAAACAGATGTTCACCTGCACATCCGCTAATGTGGTCTATTGTATCCGCTGTTCCCAACGTGGCCTCCTCTACATCAGGGAAACCAAGCGGAGGCTTGGGGACCGCTTTGCAGAACACCTACGCTCGGTTCGCACTAAACAACTGCACCTCCTAGTCGCGAACCATTTCAACTCCCCCTCCCATTCCTCAGAGGACATGTCCATCCTGGGCCTCCTGCAGTGCCACAACGAAGCCACCTGAAGGTTGCAGGGACAGCACCTCATATTTCGCTTGGGAACCCTGCAGCCCAATGGTATCAATGTGGACTTTACAAGCTTCAAAATCTCCCCTCCCTCGACCTCATCCCAAAACCAGCCCAGCTCGTCCCCACCTCCCTAACCTGTCCATCCTTCCTCTCACCTCAACCTCCACCCCCACCTCCTACCTACCAGCCTCATCCCTGCCTCCTTGACCTGTCCGTCTTCCCTGGGCTGACCAACCCCCATCCTAACTCCCCACCTACACTCACCTTTACTGGCTCCATCCCCGCCTCCTTGACCTGTCTGTCTCCTCTCCACCTATATGCTCCTTTTTCCATCTTCCATCCGCCTCCCCCTCTCTCTCCATTTATTTCAGAATCCCCTTCCCTGCCCCCATTTCTGAAGAAGGGTCCAGACCCGAAACGTCAGCTTTCCTGCTCCTCTGATGCTGCTTGACCTGCTGTGTTCATCCAGCTCTACCCCTTGTTATCTCTATGCTTGATATTGTGTCTTCTTAATTATTTTCCAGATTAGCAGGTCACAAAATTGCCCTTTTTAATGCAAGAAAATCTTGGGCATTCCTTATTGTTTCTGGTGAATGCAGTTAACTGCATTTTTAATCAGAAAGTTATAATCGGGAGTTAAGATAAAGTTAAATTTTATTGCGACTGACTAGGAAGATCAAAAAGAGGGGCTGCTTCACCCATATTAAATACCACCCCTCCACGCACCACTCCAGAATACTGACACCAAATCTATATATGCTCACAGCCATACCAGCACCTATGCTAAAACACACGTGCTAAAACACACAGATACACTCATACTAACACACACACACACTTGCAAGGAAAAACATAACGATACATCTATACACATATAAACACACACACACACCACACACACACAGTCTGCCAAACAGACATCCACAGTCACATACCCATAACTTCACTGACAGTACACATTAACACCCACAGTGACACACACACACTCACAGCATTCTGACACCCACCCACTGACACACAAACACTGACAATACACTGTAACACATATACACACATTGACGTACACACTGCGACACACACACACTGATACACATACACACACTGACAATACACTGTGACACACACACACACTGGCAATACACTGTGACACACACACACACTGATACACATACACACACACACTGATACACATACACACACTGACAATACACTGCGACACACACACTGACAATACATTGTAACACACACACATTGACATACACTGCGACACACACTGTGAGGCACACACTGACACTCACACACACACACACTACACTGTGACACACACACACACAAACAGTACACTGTGACACACACACACACACAGACAATACACTGTGACACACACACACACACACAGACAATACACTGTGACACA